GAGCTCCTGTAATCTTGAAACCGGAGGGTTAACCACTCATGTTTAGCTTTTGATAAAATCACATACTTTTGGTGATCAAACATATCTTAAAGTGATTGCTAAAGATCTGCAGTTCTTTCGTGATATATTCATCTTTTAAACCATCATGGATGTGGTGGAATAAAAATATCATTGCCTTTGCCTTTTCTCTTCCGAATTTGTTTTCGACTTATCGATTGTATTAAGCAGCTGGTTTTCCTTCAAATGCATCTTTGCAGCCACTGTCCATCTTATATAATTATTTTCCGATATATCAAGGGCAGCGATCTCGAACCTTGTTAAATTTGACATGATAATTGTATTCATATAACAATTTATTAATTTATTGATATTTCAATTTAAAATTCAGATTTAAAGAAACATGATAAACAAATTTAAAATTTGTAAACATAGTAATAACAGAATTTAAAGTAGGAGGCAAGCCGTCCATCTAGATTATGATAATAAACATAAAAAAGAGCAATAATTTAAAACATATGATATTTGTCTTTGGGACAAAATATATTATGCAAATCTTCTGGAATGCATTTGTAAATGTCTTCAGGACAATTATTTAATGGAGGCATGATCTGAGGAGACATCTACCTTGATTATAAGTCATCCATTATTTTTGAGAAGGGAGAACCTATCATCCTGATATGATCATGAAAAGGGCTAAATGCTAAGGAGTTCAAAGAAGCACTTAATGGGCTAATTTATGAAGTTCTGGACAAGAGAAGCATGAAGAAATTCATCCAAGATGTTATATATAGAGTCCAGCCCGTTTTAAGAGTGATAGAAGTCCAAGAAGAGCCCAAAATCATCATTTTATTTTTCTGGTCAAAGGAGGTGACGAAAATGAAGTGAAGAGTCACAAATGAAGAGTCAAGAAGGCCAAGAGTTTTTCAACTCTATTTATTTCCTTTCATGTAGTTTTTAGTCTTCTTCTATTTTCGAGCATATTTAATATTTAGCTTTCTTTACAAGCTTTCTATTCCTATAAATAAGTGTAATCTCTTTTTGGAATAATAAGACTTGATTCATTATTTTTGGAACTTTTTTTTAGAGTGATTCTCGTTTTCGATCTTATGGAGGTTATTCATTGATCAATCCGGTTTATCAAGTTCAGTCCGTAGAACTTGATGCAGCCTTCGTTTGCAGAGTTTGGGAATTTTGTTAGTAGTAATTGGGACTTAGGGATTTTCGGGAATTTCTCACGCCTTAACATCCTTTTACCGGCGTTTTTCTCTTTCTTTGTTCCAACCCCTTGTTTCATTCCTTTTCACCGCGAGTTTGGGACTAAGGATTTTCGGGAATCACTTCTCACGCCTTAGCATCTTCTCCGTGAAAGTGTTTGGAGTCAAGGATTATCCACTAAACCACCTTAGAGTGTCGATTCCTTGGGAGGATCGCATCATTTGGTATCAGAGCAACACTCTAAGCCTGGTTTTTATCTTTCTATCATTTTTCTCATCTTTTCATCTTCTTTCTTTCATCTTCTATCCTTTCATCGTCTTTTCTTCCATTTTATTTTATTTGTGTTTTATTTGTTTATTTTTCTTAAAAAAAGAAAAAAAAAGAGAAAAAAAAGATTCAAAAAAAAAACGAAAATAAAAAAGTAAAGAAAAAAAAAGAGAGAGAGGAATAAAAAGAAAATGTGTTTCATTGTGAGATCTGGATTTGAGGACAAATCCTTTTGAAGAGGGAGAGGATGATATGATCATGAAAAGGGCTAAATGCTAAGGAGTTCAAAGAAGCACTTAATGGACTAATTTATGAAGTTCTGGACAAGAGAAGCATGAAGAAATTCATCCAAGATGTTATATATAGAGTCCAGCCCGTTTTAAGAGTGATAGAAGTCCAAGAAAAGCTCAAAATCATCACTTTATTTTTCTGGTCAAAGGAGGTGACGAAAATGAAGTGAAGAGTCACAAATGAAGAGTCAAGAAGGCCAAGAGTTTTTCAACTCTATTTATTTCCTTTCATGTAGTTTTTAGTCTTCTTCCATTTTCGAGAATATTTAATATTTAGCTTTCTTTACAAGCTTTCTATTCCTATAAATAAGTGTAATCTCTTTTTGGAATAATAAGACTTGATTCATTATTTTTGGAACTTTTTTGAGAGTGATTCTCATTTTCGATCTTATGGAGGTTATCCATTGATCAATCCGGTTTATCAAGTTCAGTCCATAGAACTTGACGCAGCTTTCGTTTGCAGAGTTTGGGAATTTCGTTAGCAGTAATTGGGGCTTAGGGATTTTCGGGAATTTCTGACGCCTTAACATCCTTTTACCGGTGTTTTTCTCTTTCTTTGTTCCACCCCCTTGTTTCATTCCTTTTCACCGCGAGTTTGGGCCTAAGGATTTTCGGGAATCACTTCTCACGCCTTAGCATCTTTTCCGTGAAAGTGTTTGGAGTCAAGGATTATCCACTAAACCACCTTAGAGTGCCGATTCTTTGGGAGGATCGCATCACATCCCGACCATCACATAAATGTAAACAAATCGAACATAATTTAAATCTCATCTTTTTGGTATAGGAACGGATTGTGTTGATAACGTGTTATAAACCATAAGCTAATTATAGATTAAGATGAGTAAGAGTTTGTGTTCTAACTTAAAAGATAAAAGAAAGAGAATAGAGAGAGAAAAGCTTTTCTTCTTTTCACATGTATTCTCTTGTTGTTGTACATATCTCTTCATTACAATTATCTATTTATAGATGAAGAGTTAGAACAAAATCAAAACATATGTAATGGTGATTAGGATATCACTTCTTAATTAATAATACAAAGATTAGTATCCAACTAATATGACAAGTGTTCAAGGAAGTATAGGAAAATGACAAATAATAATGTAATGGATAATTACACTTTTCTTAACAAAACTCATATATTTCAAACTCAAATAATCTTCATAAAAAATATAAGCTAAAAACCTAAAAGAGTGTAAAACAAAACAAATTAATCCTAAACCAGGTTTGACGTTCCAGTTTTTCTTTTGTTTGTATTTTTTTCACTTACTTAAATGATATTGTAATTAGAAAACCAAAAAAAAGGTTCTTTAACCAAATATTAAACTAGGGCGATTTGGCTGATTTGAGCCGATTTAGACCACCTGGACTGGGATTCCAATTTATCTCGCCGATTTTATAAAATTGTTTCGGCTATATATGTATATATGGCCCTAGGTTTTCTGCATCTTCTTCTTTTGCAAGCTATCTTCACAAAATTTTTCATTTGGTATATAAATTAACATACTATACGTTTAAAAAAATATGCTACTTTTTGGTGAGATACGCTTGAAGTTGCAGTGTGTTGGAGAAAACAAGACCCATTTTAGGTTACGCTAAAAGCTGAAAAGACTTACAATGAGTAGATTCTTATCTAATGATTACAATTAAGATCTATATCTGAAATTTTACACGCTTGTAAAAAAAAAACACATTCTTTAAGAATATATAGTAGAATTTGATCTTGTCCAGATAAATTGTGATGTTCAAAGCCACTAAAAAACAAAACTATTGGATGTTCTGTATATGTTTTGTTTAAAGAGATCTTCAGAATTCCAACTGTTTAGACTCTTGATGACTTGAACAAGATTTAGACTAGTTTAGGACTTAAAACTTTCTTCTGAGCCAAATTAGGTTTACGTTTAAATCAGTACATACTCTTAGAAAACTATTAGTGGTGAGAGATTCAAAAGAAATAATTTGTTGATAATTTTTTTCTGTAATTTAATATTTTTATTTTTAAATTTGCATTGTGTTAACAATACATGTGTTCTATTAGTTATTTTTAGTGGTGTGTCTATATAACAGTAAATTTTTCTTAATTATGTTATTAACTTCTATAAATTTTTATTTCGTATAATTATATATTTTATCTGTTACTATTGTGTAACTATAGTTATTCAAATTATTTTTAAAAAAAATTATATTATCTGCAACTTTTTTATTTTTAGTCAGCTAAGATTATGAATTGTTAAACAACTAATTCATCATATTGCTTTTTATTTTTATTTTTGGATTTTATACTCCTTTTCCATTTTCATATTCTCATAATTTGTTAGTTTTATCTTTTATTCTCTTTCCTTATCTTTAACGTCTTTGTCTTCGTATTGTATAAAATTATTCTTCATTAGCTTCATATTCTTCATTCTTTTTTTTTTTTTTATCATTTTTCTCTTGTTCTTGAATTCTACTTTCTCTTCTTTTTTTTTCTTTCAGTTTTTCTTCGTATTCTTATTCTGATATTGTTTCGCATTCATCTACGTCTTTTTTTATATACTTTAATCTTTCTTCTTTCTTCTATTTCTAACTTTTTCATTTTAAATAATATATTATTTTTATTAATATATAGATTTTTAATCTAATTAGTATTACAGTTTTCTTTAAGTATTAATATCTAACTACCATTTATCTTTTCATTTACACTAAAATTTGTTTTATTTTATTTAATGTATGCTAAATATAGTAATAATAAATATAAATATACATATATTAAATGTTTATTTTAAATATGATTTAATGTTAAAATTTAAAAGTTTGTTGATGTAGACACCCTAGATGGAGAGAAAACAAATGTTATGAGTTTCTCATGAGTTTTTTAGAGGGTTTCTCAAGACTCTTTTCGTTCTTTTTCTTCACTTGTTCCTATTTTTCATTATTTTAATATGGAGAGACTCATGAAGAGACTTCAACTTAACCGTGTTCTTAGGTTCAGGCATACATTTGTGGTCAGAATATATATTTTTGCTACTTCTCCTCTAAAATAAAGGATCAGATTTTTTTTTCGTACAAAACGCCAAATATCTCTGTCATTGGGTCTTCGTATCGAAAAGATCAACGAAGAAAAGTCTTTGTATGGAAAATTAACAAAAAGAACTTCTTTTCGGACAAAAAAGTAAGAACGCGTTTGAGTGGAGAAGTAGTTGGTGAGTTTGTATTTTATTGATGCTTCATTTACTATATATATTGAGACGGTCTTATGTTATATGACAATGTGATAAAGTACACCATAATGGCTACAAAGACACCTTATTTAGTTTCTGTTTTTCTGTCTTTGATTCTTCTACTTTTATGTGTCACCTCTCAAGTTGGACTCACAGAGGCCAGACGCTCCCAACGTTAGTATACGAATTTATCCTCATTAATTTCTCATGTTTTTTTTTTTCAATTCTTGTTTTCTCGTTTAAGAAACAAACTTTTAGCCAAAAAAATCTCCTATTTAAAGAAGAAGCATACATACGTACGTTTAGAGATTCCTGTCAATTTTCTGTAGATTTGAATATGTAATAGATGTTATATACATATGCTATTTTACTTTTACATTTGAGTGTTTTGTGGATAACATTCTTATCAAATCATGTTTTCATCTCTTGGTTATGTGAGAAGTCATATGTAGAAGAAAAAAAACAAAAAACAATATTGCTGGTATTTTATGATTTTGCTGACTAATCTAAAATTCCATTTTAAAGATATACTAATCGAGATTTAAAGAAAAAGATGCTAATGTGAGAACTTACAAATTGATATTTACGTATATTTCTATTATTTTTTATGGAATTTCCCATCCCAAAACTTTCAAAAGGATCTATTTTTTTTATGTAGATCCAAAAGGTACATAAAATTTGTCTTCTGTTTTGCTATACATATATATATATATATATATCATATATGGATCTTTATAATTTGTGTGCTATTTTAAGGTCTTTCGCATCTTTATATATTAATATATATATATATATAATATATATATATATATATATTATTCAATTGTTGCAACTGAATGAAAAAACTAATGAAAGTTGTACATATTATGCAGTCAAAAAGTCGCCGTCTCCCCCTATGCCTCCCCCTCCACCTCGTTTTTATGTACCTCCTTCAAAATCACGCAGAGGAAAAGGGCCATAAAGAAAATCCATATCAATAAAAATTGTATTTGTGGTAATTTATCTTGCAAAACTACAAAATCAGTTGATCTGTTTGATGATTATGTTTTATATTATTTGAGCGTTTTGTTATTGTAATCTCTTAATATTATCATATTACTCATAATAAATTAAACTTAACCATTTTCACACACAGAAAACGTATTACATTATTGGGAACCCGTTTAAGAAATGTTCGGTAATTGCGTAATCCAGGAACCATTTTATAGGTGGTTTAGTAAACCACATATGTAGGTACCTAAAGACCATACTGTTAGTTTTGGATTGAGGAAACTGAAGCGATCATGATTTTTAGAAGACTCAGTTAGAAGACATCTTGGAGAGGAATCACTCAATCATATATTGCTAGGATATCATTTCCCCAGAAAAGGAAACAAGATTTCAACTCTTAAATTGGTTAAGAAGTGTTCAAATTCCTACAAAAACAGATTTTGAGTTCTCACTTCTTTCAACTCCGAAATATATCAAACAGATAAAGTAGAACGAAGTGGGAGCTAAAACAAAACTGGTTGCCGATTTTTAAGCAAACGTAATAAGAAAGAATTTGGGGTGGTTGGATTGCCGGAGCAATGAAGTAAGTTCCCAATATTTAGAAAGGAAATTGGCTAAAGTGAGACTGGGACTTGGAGCTTCACGATGTTGCAATTTCTAGTTCAATGCGATAACACTCCCCTTCCAATTTTTTCTCTCAGAGATCACCTTGGCCACATTGTGGTCACATGATATCTTTGTGCACAAAGCCGCCTGTCCCAAAGCAAAGGAAGCATAGACATTTGCCTCCATTTTAATTAGTATTTAATCAGCCGTTAACTAGATAAATATGACATTAGTCTAGTTAGGCTTGAATAAAAATGAAACATAAAAATTTCTTTATCGCTAAAATTCAATATATATATATATATATATATTATTTTTTTTGGTTTTTCTTAAATAGATGTGGTGGAATTGTTTCTAGACTTTGCAATTGCTTACAAGTAAGTAAAAACATTTATTTCCACCACATCTATTTAAGAAAAGCCAAAACTTAATAGCATATGCAATTTGTTTGTTAAAAACTTTTGGATTCATTTTTATTCAAACTTTGATTGGACCAAATTATTTATATTTAAGAGAAGAAATTGTTTTCTTTGAAATGGATAGTATTTTCAAGATTCTTGATATAACATCTGTATAGTGGAGTTTGAAAAATAATTAAGGCAAAAAAGTCTTGAGTCCTAAAGGGACAAGTGAAAATTTCGTGGGAAGTGTATCAGACATACCAACCGCGTTTTACCTTTTAGGAAGAATTGGTTTTATAATGCTAATTGAATTACAATTTGTCCCCTTAATGTTTTCTAAATAAAATTTGTCTCTTTAATGTTTAATTTAAATTTAATCCAATTATACCCTTTAATTACGCATTAATAAATTAATTTATTTTTAAAAATGTTTTATTAATAAGAAAAAAGAAAAAACAAGTAGAAAACCAATTCTACAAAGCGTAAAAAAAAAGGAGAACCCGATCTTCTTCACCTTCACCGTGTGTCTCCATCTTCTCCAAGTCACCTGCAAACTGTAAGTAAAACTTATTTCTTCTTCTTCCTCCTCTGTCTGGGTCATATTCCTCACTTTTTCTTTTAGTATTCTCATTCAAACCCTTGATTCTAGGGTTTACAATTTCTCAATTGATTTGGGAGTTTTGTTTCTGGGTTTGAGTTTTCATTCAATTGTATTCTCATTCAATTGTTTTTGAGTATTCGCTCATAGCCACATGTATTCTCATTCAATTGTTTTTGAGTTTTCGCTCATAGCCACATGACTGATTCTGGGTTTTATAATTTTGATTCTGGGTTTGCTAATTTCGATTCTGGGTTTGCTAATTTCGATTCTGAGTTCTGCACCTTCCTAATTGCTTTGGGCTATTGTTTATAGTAATTTCGTGATTCTGGGTTTGCTAATTTTGATTCTGGGCATGATTAAATGAGTTTGTATTCAAAGATTTACAAGTTGTGTGATGTTTTCAACTGCTTAACTAGTCTACTTTCAACTCATGTATTATTTAAAATTAGTGTACGTTATTATTTAAAATTAGTTGATGAACTTGCCTTTAGGTTTGTCTCTGTTTCGATTACATATGTAAATTTGTTACCTATGTCGGGATTCAGATAAGCACCTATAGTTCCAGGGTTGAAATTTATATTTCATCAGGTTTCAAGTATTTTGATTCCTTTGTTTTGTGGTTTTTGTTTACTTCAGTATCAGTGGAGAAAACAACCATTACGATTCACCCACAAATCCTGCAGCTCCTGCTCGTATTCCTGGTGGCGCTTGCAGTGGAGCTGCTATTGCTGTAGCAACTAACGCTGTGGATTTTGCATTAGGTGAGTTTTGTAGATTCCTTTTCCTTGTTGGAAAATATGGCACAAGATGTCTTGGTAACAAAACATTGCTTAAAATTTTAAACCATAAATTGATAGTTACCTATCTGTAGGAAAAAGTTGAAACAGTTATAAACCTGTTTTGTATTTTACATTATATTTTCATCAAAGCTGCCACCTTATTGCAGTTCTAAAACAAGAAGTTGTTGTCACCATAAATAAGGTCGCTTTTGCATTAATATTGCTTTCACCATAAATGTGATAGTGTTGGCTGAGAAGGGGCGGTAAGAATCACTGAACCAAAACACACGCTTCCATAACTTTCGAATTATCATAGAAATGGGATAAATCCCAAAAGAAAACCACAACCCAACTGTTCTGTAGAAGCATTATCTGTTATGATCTAACAGTTCGCATCTAACTTATCTGACCTCTAACATAATTGCTTGATCTAGATTCTTACTTAAGGACATATAGTAAGATTGTTCCATACAGAGTTACATGCTAGTTTCCTTGGACCCATCCAATTCATCTCGAAAGTCTCAATCGTTTACTGGTTCTGGTTCAATTTTCTTAAGAATAACGTACATATAGTAAGATTGTTCCATACAGAGTTACATGCTAGTTTCCTTGGACCCATCCAATTCATCTCGAAAGTCTCAATCGTTTACTGGTTCTGGTTCAATTTTCTTAAGAGATGTACGTTATTTTTAGCATTTGATCACAATAGCTTATTGATTTCACCATGTAAAGCAAGCAATTGATTCTAATGACGATTATTGTCACATATATTTGTAGGTATGGACGAGGAACTTCCGAAACTGCTTTTCGAGCCTGGTTTTGTGAATGATATTGACAATGGACCCCGTTAAGAAAGCACTTTCAGACGAATACAAAAGAGTTCTGCTAGACCCTGTCTTTGGACCTGTTTTGTCGATTATCGAGAACGACATGGGATATTCAGGGCGACTAATCCATAGCTTTCTGTGTAAGGAGCTCATCACTGACAAGAAACACGAGCTATGGTTCGTGTTTGCGGGGAGACTTCTTCGATTTTCTCTGCAAGAATTTCAGTAGTGTAATAATGATCGGTGAGAGTGTGTATCTGCTGGTTCACAGAAAACGCTGCTTTAATTGCATGCCGACACGGAATTTTAAGCAAGTCGTACTTGCCACATGAACAAGTTCTTCTGCCCAAATCAACAAGACAGTCATATTTGTCACCTCTGACCAAAAATCGATCCTGGCTAACTGGGTAAACAATGAATGTTTTACCCTTATCAATCCTTCTCTCGATCTTCGTCTCAACCTCAAATGTTAGAGGAGCCTGATGCTTTGAGCTAAGTCTTTTACGCTCATAAAACCAATTGGTTAACATTTTTCTGATGCTGTCGAGTAGAGGAATAACTGGGTACTCTTTAGGAGTTAGCAATTTATTATTTATCGACTCAGCTGGGTTAGTGGATCTAACATCGTACCTAATTCCGGGGAATTTGCATCGTGCCCATTTCTCAACACCAGTGTCCTGAAGATACTTTCCAACAGCTTGACTAATAGAACAAATGGCAGCAAACTTGGTATCAAAAGCAGAAACTCTGTACTCTTTAGAAGCCTTCGCAATCAAACCAGTCAAACCCTGTGTCTTGAAAAATGTTATCACATTATTCAGCAAGTGGTGGATACAGATACCATGACTAGATTGTGGGTACACTTTCTCAAATGCTTTAATTACAGAAACATTTCTATCTGACACAAAAGCCAAACGCACCTCATCCGCAATGACAACTTTTAGTTGCCTCATAAACCACTCCCAAGACAAGTCGTTCTCTGAATCGACAACCCCAAATGCGATCGGATATAAGTTCGAGTTGCCATCTAATGCTGTAGCAACGAGCAAAACTCCTTTATATTTGTTTTTCAAAAATGTCCCATCCACAACAATCACCCTGCGAATAGCTTTGTAAAAACCTCGTACTGATTGACCGAAAGAGAGAAACAGAAACTTGAAACGTCCAGTAATGTCAGTTTCATACTGCGTATGGGTCCCTGGGTTCACTTCTTTCAGCATGTGCAAATATTTAGGAATTTTGGCATAGCTTTTCCCGGGAATGCCTCAAACAATACTAATCGCATACTCACGTGCTTCCCAAGCATGGTCGTAAGAGGTGTCACATCCATGCTCTGTACGAATAAAATGAATTATTTCTCTGGGGCTAGGCCCTGCATTAGCACCCTCAAACTTATTCTTAATCAGATTACCAATAGTTTTTGCTGAAGCTGTCCTACCGACTACGTCTTTATTAGAAGGAATGCATGTATGTTGAGCGACATACTTATTGATTCTGAAATACTCTGACCCTTCAAGACATTGTGCACAAATACGCCAGTTGCATGACTTCTCTTTGCAGCGGATACACCACACACGTTTGGTTGATTCCAGTATGTTGTAGTCAAAATTATACTTCATCGCAGAAATTTCTAAAGAAGCCTTCAACTCTGTTTTGCTTCTAAAAATTTGATCATTCTTTACGACATTAAGCAAGTTAAGTCGGACGTTCTGCTCACCGTCAACTATTTTGTCAACCATAACGGGTTCATCAAACTCTTCCTCCACTTTATGGCCAATGCCTCTAATATCATCATCGCCTGACTTCACAACCTGATCGTTTTTCATACAGCTTGAATCAGAGGCTTTCTTCATCAATTCGATGTTAATCGGAATCTCATGATGTTCAGCGTACGCAGTGAATGTCACACACAGATTTACCGAGGTTTTCTTCCTAGAGTACCCAACAAAATTTTTGAGCTGACGATCATTAGCGATACTCACTGGTGGAGAGCCTACAGTATCAACCAAATCACTCGGTAGATAACTAAACTCAGCTTTGTGATCGACTACTCCATAGTCTTCTAGAACCATTGTTTCTAACTCTGCGAGAGTCGTATTTGATTCAACAACAACTAACCTAGCTCGTTTTTCTGCATCAGCCACAAAAACCCACTTCTTATCTGTTCTTGATTTCCATGAACCACAAGTGACATAGATATGTAGCATGTTTGAAGCAGAAAATATGTAATTTTAGGAAAAATCTGCTTGATCAATGTGAAAGAAGAAGAAGAGAACGATGACAGCCAAAAAAGGAAAAAAAAACGTCAAAACCAATAAAAAACGTTGAAAATTAAAAAAAAAAAAGATTTTTGAAATATTTAAGATCTGGAAGTTAACTAACTTTCCTAGATTTTCTCAGATTTTGGTAGAAGATGTATTCTACGTTAATGTAGAATGCAGTCTAACAGGTAAAAGATGCATTCTACGTTAATGTAGAATGAAGTCTAACAGGTAGAAGATGCATTCTACAATAACGTAGAACCTGGTCTAACAGGTAGAAGATATATTCTACTAACCTGTAGAATATAGTCTATCTAGTAGAAGTTATAATCTATCAATCGGTAGAATATATAAAGACCTATTGGCTGGTAGAATATGTGAAGAACTATAGAAATAGGATTCTACGTGGACATAGAACATAGAACATGCATTCTACCAAGCGTAGAACGAATTTTAAAAATATTTTATTTCCATAAATGATATACGAAAATATTTTAAATTCGTTTTTAGGTATTTTCGAAATTTTCAAAATATAGTTTCGCATTTATTTTTAATTATAACTGCCATAACTGATTTAAAAGGGCAACTATGTCAAAAAGTGACAAAAAAATAAAAAACATCAAGGGGACAAATGTTAATTCAATTGACATTATAAAAGCAATTCTCCCTTAATTTTAAGGCTACATAACTTTTAAGTTATTATGCATTGAAATATAAAAGCTTATTAATCTCTCATATTATATACTTCTATAGTAGTTATTTGAGAGAAGAAGAACGTAAAGGCGATGAAGACATCACACGTTCCTTTGCTTCGTCTTCTTCTTTGCCTATTCTTAGTGATGGATCTCGTAGGAGCTCAATTACCAGGTCAGTTCATATATATATCATAGATAATCAGATTTTGTGAGATATTGATATTGCTAACAGCTTACAAATGCGAGATTTTAAAAAACAAAAACTTTACCAAATTATAGGAGAAAAAACAACTAGATCACAACTCTTTTAATTTTTGTTTGAATCAAATAGAATACATTAGCTGGATATATTATTTTCTAAGAAACTCCTGAAACTCATGATATCCGTAAAATAAATTTAGAAAGAGATTTATCTTGTAGTTAGATAAATTTAGCAAGAGATGTATTCTGTAGTTCAAACTTGCAATAAATTTTGAATTTTCCTAAACTTTTGAATGGTTTTGATGATTTTTGTTGAAATTCAGAAATTACTATTTTGTAATTAAATACCACTTCTAAAGCCGTATTTTTATATTAAAAAACCCTTCTAAAGCACCATGAAATCATAAAGAAAACAATACATAACATATTCTCAATAACAATATTTTGAATGTGTTTTTCTTTATATCTTTCTTTCAAATAAACAATTCAATAATTTTGAATTTTAAGAGACATTTACAATTACTATAACTAACAACATAATATTTTAAAATTTTTTTTGATCGTATATGATTGAATAACATGAGATATGTCATTTAAATACAAACTAGATTTTACCCCGTGCATCCGCACGAGAATTTTTTTTAATCAAAATTTGTAATGTATTTTTTTTTTATAGATATAATATTTTAATAAATGTCAAAGATTTATTTTTATGTTTAGATATAATTTGTTTTTTTTAAGTATTATTATGACCACAATTATAAAAACATAATTCTAACCCGATCATTCTATTAATCAAAATATGAACATTATTATAAAAACATATTTATAATTCACTCATTCTATTAATCCCAAAAAACCGTGGTTATAAAACCATAATTCTAATCCGTCTGTTCATATTACTATATAATATAAATATTTATTAATTTTGAAATAATATTTATCTTAATATCTTATATGTTTTGATAAATTAACCCGCACAAGACCACAATTATAAAAATAACATAACCTACTCCATAAAATTATCATATAATATTAATATTTATCTGTTTTCAATATGTAAAATTTTAGTCTGATTGAATATGATTTAAAAAAATAAGGTATTGATTAATATTTGTTATCCTGAAAATATTATTTGGATTTAAATGTTAAATTAAATCTGACCTATATTTCTAGAAATCTAAAGTAATTTAAATTAATATTTATTTTTAAAATTAATGTTATTACAAAAAATAGTTTGAATTTTAAATTAAATATAACTTATATTTAAAGAAATCTTTAGTTATCTAAATTATTATCTAATTTTCGGAATTAAATTTTTATATAAAAGAAAATGTGTTTTTTAAAATAATATTGCAATAAATTAGGATAATTTTAAAACTGTTTTTAAAAAAAAATTAAAAAACTTTAGGAGTGTTTGGAAGCAAATACTAAAAGTGCTTCTATTTTAATATAATAGATGATTTAAAATACTTGATCGACTACATCTCTTAATATCTTGGATTATGACACAGGTCCGTACATAGACACACCACCATCAAAATCATGCAGAGGTGGTAGTGCCAAACACGGTCCATCTCAACTACTAGCCAGGAGGTCACCCCCATGTAGACGCCCTCGACTCCAAAACCCAAAAGACATTAGCCACACTACAGTCCCTCGAAGTAGAGAACCAATACTTGATCTACTTTATGTAATGTTGATTATGAACTGTTGAAGTGATACATGGAGTGACTCCAATCCTATCTTTACCGAAATTACCTAGAAATTGCCCAAAATACTACTTTTCTTCTATAATCAATTATTGTAATTTAGTAGAGGAGAATTTGTCCTACGCTTGGAAGCAAGTTATTGAGTTTTATCCAGTACTGTTTTTTATGTGATTTGAGTTATTAACAAAAAAAAAAAAGAAAAAAAGGGAATTGGTTTCAATCATCAAACTTTTCGAAGCAATAAAATCATCAAATCAAGTGGTAGTGAGTTAGTGGTTCTCATTTTCTTAGGAGTTGTCCATTTGGTCTAGGCCGCTAATAATAATCGATTCTCAGAATTATTTAACCACTTCAATGTAGTTAGTTCTGTTAGAACAATTTTTTATAAAGCTTCTAAACTTTATACAAATGTGTATGTGTGAATAAAAATGAAACCTTTGCACTAAATGGAAAAACCTATAAAATGGCTATTTTAAATGAGAAGATATGTTATTTGTCCCACATTGGTGGTTTAAAATTTTTTGGTGTAATATATATAAGGATTAAGACCATTGTCCCTCATTTTGAGGGAAAACATCAAAAAATGAGGGAAACTCTTCTCCAATGGTACATCATTTTGAGGGAAAAAATGAGTTTGTGAACAGTAGTACATCAAATTTGAGGGAACACTATTCATCCCCTCATTTCACTTTTTAACTTTGTTTATTTGCAAAATGATCCTTATAGTTTTACATATATCTCATCTATATCTAAACAAAGTTTTAAACTTTTGTTTACTATATAAATAAAATATTATTGTTTTTAAAATATAACAATAATAAATATTAATTAATTTTATAAATAAAAACGTGAAAATATAATTTTAATATATAAAACAAACATAAAATACTTAACAAATAATAAAAATTAAAATACATAATTAATATCATAAATAAAAATAAAAGACAACAAATAAAATTAACATAAACTTAATTTTTTTCTTAAGAAAAACTTAACCATTACATAAACTATTGGTTTAATAATCTGGTATATTATCTTGGGATCCACCAAGATTATTAAAATATTGTCCAAATGAAGTAGATGGAGAATGAGTTTCTTGATCTTGTTCTTGTGCAGCCCTTTTCTGTAGAATTTGTGTTTGTTGAGCTTGAACATATGCACGGATATTCGCATCTTGAATCCAAGTCTTGAAACAAAATTTTGTTTTCTTCGTTTTCTTTTTTCAAGGCATAATTCATACTTTGAATATCCAAATGTTGTTGTCTTTGTGCATTTGTCTTCTTTAGTTGCTCCACAAGTTGTCTATTTCCTTCTTCTAAGTTGCTCAATGCCATTGATGTTTGATCATCAC